ATCCATCCATCCATCCATCCTGTATCCATCCATCCATCCATCCACCTGTACATCTGGACTTCTCCGAGTTTCTTGGCGTCTGCTTCTTTGATCTCGTTGACGTCGTAGCACGGCCCATGTCACTTCGGTCAATAGGCCGTGAAAAGAGACTTTTGGGCATGGGGACAGGAGGGATGTGGATAATTTCTATAGCAGTAACAAATCGCCTTGAAACAGTGTACTAGACGGAAAATTTTCGCCCCCCCCCCCCTCCCCACCGTCTAAGAACTCTTCTTTCTTCCGATTTATTTAAAAAAAATTGCTAATAAAGGGCGCGATTGCAGAAGAAAATGAGAAATGTGTCATGCAGACTTTTGACAATCCCATCAGATTAACAGAACTGTGGCACGACGACTCCACCTTCAACCACTTCCTCCAAATCTTTAAGGCAATAACCGTTGGCGGTCTGATTTCGCAAAAAATGACGATTTATTTTCCCGTCAACTTTTGGATGCATCTCAAAAATTGTGGAGGATGCGGTGTAAAATGTGGAGGCTACTTTTCAGGCAGTTGATGGGTTGTCCATGTTGTTTGCAATTAAGGAAAAAATGTTCGCTTTTTGGGGCAAATAAGGCACTTTTTTTCCAAAATTTCGTGAATTGTCAAATTTTATGAGTTTTATTTTTCCAACCGGTAGGAAGGAATCGACCTATCCGAAGTGGGCGAACCTGAGGAGGTCAAAGCCACTACCGGGGGGTGAGGGGGTGGCGCAGACCCATAAAAAATTTAAATTAGGAAAGGAAAAAAGTAATTTCCTAGTCAAAAGTTGGTATTTTTACACACAATGGAATATATACAAATATGAAAATTTCCACAATTCTCCTGAATTTTATTAAAATAATCTAAAGGAAATGGAACTGCTTATTCAAATTTTAATTTCAAATTTTTTTAAATCACCAAAATTACCTTTTTTGTTAAGTTCCTCATTAAGAGCACTTTAAATTACCCATCTTAGCCAACTATGCTTGAATAGGACAAATACTACTGAGAAGCTTATTTTAGTAATATGTCCCCGAACGTTCTAATACAAAAAGAGGTCTAGGTGGACCACTCATTGCCCAATCTTAATGCCCTATGAAGTGTGAGGTACGGGAGAGATCGAGCAGAGGCATTGGCGCACCTTCAACGGCTACAGTTCCCGTTGCCAGGTTGTCAGTGGCGCCACCGACTCACCATCTCTGCCGGAATGATTGCGTTAGTAGCTACCAACAGGCTGACTGACAAAAAGGAGAGAGCAATTTTGTTTTGAGACTTGTTCCAATTGTGGAAGAAAGAAATGAAGGCTAAAGCTCCCATCTTCGATGCTTCTTGCCATCACTCAAGGCAAGCAGTGGTAGCTTCCATGACTTCCGCAAAGTGACTCCTCCCTCCCGTGACAGCTTTATCTTGTCATATTATCCTGCAGGAGGGGAAGGCCTTCTAGACAGCGGTATACCAGCGCCCTGTCAGTGATTTACTTCTATATCATGGATAGTTCCGCTATCACCGAACTATTAAAGGCACTGGGTCTCAGTAGAGGTGGAGTCTGTGGACAAATAGACTTGAGTGCCATCCATCACTGTCACCCCAAATATTATGTTGACAGTTGAAAAGAGGAGGAAAAAAAACAGGTAGAGGTGCGTGTCCATGCCTTGTGACGCACATGAACGAAAAAACGTGCGTTTTACAAACACTTATAAACCACCGTGAAAAAAAAAAACAAAGCAAACAACTATTTTGGTTGGCCGACCTCTCAATACACGAAGGTGGCGCAAAAAACCCACGAGTTTAAACACTTACCTGTTGTTTTAAAAGTGAAACTGAGTTGCGCAAAAGACGCATTAAAACAACGAAAAACAAAAATGGTGGATTTTGAGGGTTCTAAAACTGCTACCTTCCAGTGAACATGGAAGAAGGACAACGTTTCCAACCTCTGGGTTCAGATATTCAGAGAGGGAAGAGAGACCAGTGCGAGGTGTCGCATGATTGGATGGAAATAGAGGCAACACGGATTGACAAAGACCTATTGAGAGGCGGATGTTCATCGTCCTCATGGGCATTGTTCAGGGTCAGCACAGCGCCACGGTTTGTCGCCCAAAGGTTGACACCTGAAGGTCCGAACGAAAATGCCTCCTCGGCGCTACCGACTGTGGGGGCGGGGGCGTTTGGCCAACTCCCCAAAATGCAATTTTTGCCTTGTCAATTATCTAGCAAAAAAAAATTGGTGGATAATTTGTGTCCTCCGCCTAGCAAAAGTTGCCGACATTGCTTACTCCGGCAGTATTTGACTCCCATAAATTTGTTCCCGCGGGGTATTGACGAAAATGAAGAGATTCTTTTTTTTCATTTCGCTACATCCTTTTTCCCGTGGGAATTGGAGCTTCCAAATTACAAAAGAAGCCACAAAAATTTGCCACTCCTCTGGCAGACTTGCATAAGGTCTTAGGCCGCCTTCCTATCTTCTTTCCTCCTCCGAATTTTGACTCATGGAGAGAGAAGACCAGCAGGAGGAAGACATGTCGTCTTGTAATAGCATAGGCGGAGGTTTACACGCTATCCATTTTTTTACGAGGGGATCCGGACTGACCTCCACTCCACCATCACGCTTACCCAAGGTGGTTTTCAAGCCCTGCGGAGTGCTCGCTCCCACTCCCTTCCACCTCTTACTTACATATCATGCAATTTCGAACAAACATACCTGATGTGACTTGAGCCTGTCCGTTTCCACTCCAAAGTAGTAGAAAGCCGTCTAGTCATACAGAGAAAGCTGAAATAACCAAAGGTGTTGAAAACATCTTTGTTCACTTTACAAATTACAGTTACAAGTGAATTAGTTAGGAAAAGGCAACTCAGGAATTTGCCTTTCCCCCTCACACTTCATAACAGCAGAAGAATGCCTTCTTGTTCTAAGTTTGGACAACCACATAATCACGTGAAGCAAACAGTTGGGCCAATTGAAGTGGGTCGCAGGCGAGGGTGGCGAACACTTGAGTGCTAGTGGCTGAAGATGAAAAGTTCCTCCTAAGGACGGGTTTTACATCCACCCCGTGACTGGTGAGGCAATAATAAAGGATGTTAAGGTCATAAACTTAAGGCCTTTCCCCAGTCAGAAGCAACAATTACTCCACTAAAATGGCCAAGGTCGGGTCTACTTCCCTCCACAGCGAGATGGCAATAGATTGCGTGTAGATAAGGTAACTTGAGTTTGTTCACCCTCACACCATTGGCAACGGCAAGTACTTTAATGGCTTTTAAACTTTATTTCCTTATCGTTAGGTGACAGAAGGTTTTAGTGCAATCCGACCTTCCGCGGGTTATATCGCACGCTCAACTGCGGCTTGACGAGGCGACTTTATAAAGAAAAGCGTCAAAGGGGAAAAGAAATGTTAAGCGTGTTTTCATTGTCAGAGGTCGCAATATAAGTAGGCTTTATCAAATCGAAATTTGGGGCATTTTGAACCTCGCGCCCCCTTTCGGCCCTCCTGATTGGCTAAGTAAAACAACAAAGCCACGGAGGCAACCAAATGCTCCTTTATCACTAGCAATTACTTGGTTTTCACGTTTGCACACACCATATCGCCTCATCTCTAAGCTAACTCAAATCCATTAACAACTGAAGACGTGTGAATGGGCAAGAAAGCCTTCTTGCACAAATCATCAGCCGGGTTCAAGGTCATGCTCAAGAACATCAATTTGTGGCATTAGAGAAGTATAAACCTCGTCCGTCGAACAATGCCAGATAAGTGCCATGACTTGGTTTTTGTTTAACTGGATAGTCTTTTGATTCACTGCGGGGCTGTGCTACCGTCTGGACATTCAGTGCTGCGACCAGAGATGCACCGCAACGGCAAGGTGCTTGGAAGGAGTGGGGTCAAATTCCTATTGTGGAAGGCTAACAGCTCACCATATTTAAGCTGTCGACAAAAAAGGGGTTCCGCGCTGCCTTTAAGGTGTTAGGAATGCAACATTAAGTAAATTGAAGTTCATACACCTCGGTTAATAAAAATCTCTCGAATCATCACCTTATGTCAAGGTATGGAGGTGTTACAAGGTCGCCCTGGGGCTTGACAGTGGCCTCTCTGCCCTTCAGTGCAGCGTTCTTCCATGTTGGGCCCAATGGGAGGCTTCTTTCTATTCTACAGCTTCACAGGAAGTTTTAACTCTTGTTTAAACGGCGATACAGGAACCGTGGAGCCAAAATAGCTCCGCTGATTCAATAAGGAAATAAAGGAAATACCTTTCTCCCGAAAATCGTCAAAATTTTTTTTGATCTGGTGTTCACGGGCATGAGCTTGAATCCTATCCAGTCTCTAACTGAGGATTGTGGGAAACGGTGACTTCGATGTGGACGTCTTCAGGCCGGGGGGTAGCCCTAACTGACCACCGGAGGAAGGAGGTGGTTCCAATCTCGCCTAGAAGAGGCCGAATATCAGCGGAATACCCTAGAATGCTTTAAAGTTGGGCTCGAGAAGGCAATTTTTATAGTCTTAAAGCAGAAACGTCTTCAGCGGCAGTAGATATCTCTAGAAGGCTCCTCGCCAAGAGCATAGGTGATTAGTAGACAGAGAAGTGATAACTCATCACTCATACTTTCGACCAGCAAGGGTGGACAGGTGGATGGCCAGAAATGAACTTAAAAGTGAATAAAGAGAAGTATATAGAGGGACCATTTATGGATCGGTTGGGGGTACAGGCAAATGAAGTCATTCAAGAGTCCCCAATGAAGGAAATGGAGAGGATTTCTATAAGGAAAAGGATCTTTCCAAAGTCTAAAAGAGATTTTGTTCCAGATTTGACACACCCTCAATGGAACGTAATGTTTAGTGTAAAGAGATCTCCATATCCTCTAGAGCGGCAACATCCCTCGCTCTTTTGTTGTATTTACAGACCTGCTGGTTGAACAAACCTGATGGATGCCGTACAAGCTTGTCATCTTTACGTCCCGAGGTTTACTCAATCTCAAAACTACAAAGGTGAACTTGTCGTCTACATTATCACTCAGCATTTGGATAAGTTGCGGCAGTCGGCGGCACATGTCTTCCAGACTTGAAGTCTCCAAATGTGGAATTGCAGTCTAGTCGTGAATATTTGGAAGATGAAGGGAACACCCTCTACTCTGAAAGTATCGCTGAAGACTAATAGGTTGGAATTTGAACTCTTACCCACATTATTCGATTGCATTCGTGAAAGCAGGAAAACAGATTACTTCTACACTAGTAAGCTTCAAAGACAAACGAATTGTTGGCGTAGACTACATGTAGAACTGCTCGACGGTAATCCCTTGTTGAGGATTCAAGATGGATAGACGAGGAGAGCATAGATGGAGGATGTGTCGGTCTTCTCAGAATTGGACTGAATACGGGCGAAACAGGGGAGTGGACGAATCTCACACGATAGCATGGAGCAGGAATGATTAGATCTTTGAATGGTTAAATAGATGGATGGACTAAGAACAAAGAGGTAAGTGGATAAGGGGAGCGCATATATCAGGATTCAGGTGAAATAATACAACGAGTTGATAACATTCATTTTAAATCCGCTAAAGGTGATTGCGACTCTAGAAAAAGCATTCCAACGTTGGAAGTCTAGCAGGTTTTACGCCCTTCCTTTTCCAAACCTTCTGGAAGCATTTTAGACTTTGTGAAGATACTTTACACGGGTTGTTCCCCATACTAAGGTCAATCAATTAATCAAAATTGCGCCAGAACGAAGAATTGAACCACTTCAGTGACTCACTTAATTGCAGAACATTCTAAAAGTCGCGCTCTCGCTCACTTAACTCCTGATTGGCTGAGATCCCCGCTTAGGTACTCTTCAAGCGAGTTGATAAACACTCTAATTCCAAGGTCACTCAGTTACCAATAGCTACAAGTGACTAAGGCTCTGGCGACCATCTAGCCCACCAGGTGCATGCGCACTCATCTCTCTCTCACTCGCTAACTCATACACGTCGATCGATAGGACCGCCCATTCTCACGCCTTGTCTATCGATTACACGTTAGGATGATCAATTCGGCCATTTGTCCCGAGGCCTCGATCTATTGATTATCTGGCTGCAAAATTTATAAAAATCTGGGCCACACACCCATACGAGTGCATGAAAATCGCAGTTGCGCGTGGGCTGGTGGCGTTGAAGGCCTCAAACTTCTAGCTGCCGTTTTTTCTCCTTCGTTTCCTCTGGTTAAGGCCTCGACATGGTGGGTGCTCGGCTCCCCCAAGACAGTCCATAACACCGATTGACTTTGATGGAGAGACATGAGCAGCTGTTCCATGGATTGTTACGTAAGTTAATATGTAATACTTGATTACACACTGGAATAAAGTCTTGAAATGTTGGAAGGCTAAATCAAGGCTTGTTGCATCCAAGCTGGCCAGATACACGGGTGAATGGAGGGGGGTTCAACAAATCCGGAGTAGGTAAATAAACGGACTAGGGACAAAATCGGTTTGTGGAAGCATGTAGAAGTAGGTTAAAGATGTCAGTAAGAAGGGCTAGGTGGAATCTTGAGGAGAAGAAGGAATTACTGAATGGATGCGTGGGAGGAGATACCGCACCCGGACCCCCCGGATTAAGGGCAGACACCCAGTGAACCCTGCATCCACTGCCAAATTGTCGTGAGTAAGCATAAGTGTACAATTTTACTCCTGTATAATATGAAAACTGTTTTGTTTTGATAAAAAGACTGCTTTTTAAGTCAAGATGCCACGTGTAGAAAAATTAAAACAGGTAAATAAGTGAGTTTCGTTCTCTCACATTACTACTTATTTGTAGTTAGTAAAATATTCTTATTGGACATCTGTGCATTCAGTAAAATAAGTACTTGAAAGCAATTTTACCAATCTTATGAGAGAATTTGAGCAATGTACCACTACTTTTTTGGTAGTCATGGAAGACACGATCTGCCAAATAATCGCATGTCAATCTTGTTGGCGCCCATTAAAATAACTACTTCTTGGAGGCTAGTGCCTATTCAATGGAAACTTTGAATTCGAAGTCCCTTACCACCATTGTTTTAGAAAAGGTAAAATTGGCTGAATGCTATAAAAATACGCGCATATATTTAAAGCGACTTCGTCGTGCATCCCGGGGAGAGGAGGGGTACCGCATTGGCATCTAAAGGAGGAGAAAGAGGTTTAAAGTAACTGCAAAAAGTACCGAAAAATCCAGATAAGTGCCATTTAAAGCAGCAGTAGGTTCTAACGCATGATGACCTTGAAAAAGCCAATAAGAGTCCTTTCCCCTCTGTTCAAGGGGCAAATAATTTGATGCCTCCACATTTTTAAAAAGGTATTATCTGTAGCACTAAACAACTTGACCCACTCTGTCTCCCTTTCTATCTCATCTTCATTGTCTTTCTCACCGTCTCATTTGGATGCGCATAATTGGGGACGCGGGGGGGATCCCCATGTCTCACACCCCTCTCCCTCCAAGTCTACTCGCGGCCACATGCTGCGGCCGAACGGCATTACGGGTCTGCTTATCAGCATGACGCGCCCATCCCACTGACTAAATGACTAGTTTATCTACTCCTGGAGACGTTTTTTCCTTTTCATTGCTTATTGACTGATAAGACTATGATAGACATTTTTTAATTGGACAGGCGTGACCTTAGGGTCAGCCGATCAGAAAGTAAAAAAGGCGTTTTAAAATTTATCCACAATTACGGAAGAAAAATAAACGTTATTTGGGCTGGAAAGAATAAGAAGCACTTGACGTGGTAATAATTGGCCACACAAATTACATCAATTCATCTTCTTCCCTCCAGCCTCCTTGTCGGTGTTGCATAATTTCTTGGGATCGATTTCGTCCACGAAAGCCACGGATCGTTGCGATCTAGGCAAAGTACAAGAAAGGAAATAATGCTAACTTCTATCTGACCTACTTGACCCGTTTTTTAGTCTCATTACTTTTCTACAAGGTCACTGGTAAGTCGCAGATTAGCTGGGGAGGGATTTCAGCAAAGTGTTTCAAGAGTTCACCTCTCATACTCCATAGCAGTAACTGCAGCTAATCAAACACTTTACCG